TGCCTTAGAGATTGTTGGCGTGAAAACCATCAAATTAAAGATGTATGATGGAACAATTAAAGTTGTTCGAGATGTGCGACACGTGAAAGGCCTGAAGAAAAATTTATTATCCTACGGATTGTTGGATAATAATACAAGCAAGATTGAAACACGGAAATGAATCATAAAGGTGTTCCATGGAGTGCTTGTGGTAATGAAAGACAAAAAGATAGCAACAAACTTGTACATACTGAAGGGAGAGACTTTGCTAGAAGCAGAAGTCTCTGTTGCCTCATGTAGTTCAGATTCTACAATGCTATGGCATCAGAAACTTGGACACATGTCAGAACAAAGAATGAAAGTCCTTATGGAGCAAAAGCTACTTCTAGGCTTAACGAATGTGTCACTTACTTTGTGTGAGCATTGCATAACAAGTAAGCAGCACCGGTTAAAATTCAACACATCAAATTATAGAGGTAAAAGTATTCTAGAATTGGTTCACTCTGATGTATGTCAAGCACCAGTTACATCCCTAGGCAGAGTAAAATACTTTGTCTTATTTATTAATGACTACTCCAGGAGATGTTGGGTGTATCCTATTAAAAGGAAGTCAGATGTGTTTTTCACTTTCAAAAACTTCAAAGCGCGGGAAAGAATTTGATAACTTTTGCAGGAAAGAAAGCATCAAAAGACAGTTCACAGTGGCGAACACTCCTCAACAAAATGGAGTGGCAGAGTGGATGAACATAACCTTGTTAGAAAGAACAATAGCAATTTTGAGGGCTATAGGCCTAGAAAAATCATTTTGGGCAGAAGCAATCAATACCGACTGTTATTTAGTGAATCGAGCTCCATCAACTGCAATAGAGCTGAAGACACCAATGAATACGTGGACTAGTAAACCAGCTGATTATTTAAACCTCCATGTATTTGGAAGTATTCTGTACATGATGTATAACTCCCATGAAATTTCAAAGTTAGATCCAAAATCCAGGAAATACAAATTCTTGGGGTATGCTGATGGAGTAAAGGGGTATCGCTTGTGGGATCCTACTGCCCGCAAAGTGATCATCAGCAGGGATGTTATCTTTGTAGAAGATAAACTACAAAGAAAAGACGATGATAGCGCTGAAAAGTCAGAGACTACACATATACATGTGGAAAAGGAGTTTGAACAAGGAGATACTTCTGAAGCAGAACCATCACATGATGAACAAGAACTAGAAAGTTCTGAAGCTCCAATAACTCGTCAATCAGATAGTGTGAGAAGACGTCCCAATTGACACTCAGATTATGTTATAGAATGAAATATTGCATACTACCTTTTAATAGAGGACTATGAGCCATCAACATACCAGGAGGAAATAAACAGCTCAGATGCTTCACTATGGATGATGGTGATGCAAGAAGAAATTGAAGCCCTTCATAAAAATAATACATGGGACCTTGTGCCACTACCACAAGAAAGAAAGCCAATTGGTAACAAATAGGTCTTCAAAATCAAGAGAAATGGTGACGATCAAGTGGAGAGGTATCGTGCAAGACTGGTGGTCAAAGGATATGCTAAAAAAGAAGGTATTTATTTCAATGAAATCTTTTCTCCTGTAGTTCGACTAACAACAGTTAGAGTAGTCTTGACAATGTATGCTACCTTGAACTTAAATCTAGAGCAGCTAGATGTTAAAACAGCTTTTCTTATTGGAAATCTTGAAAAAAAGATTTACATACTCCAGCCTGAAGGTTTTAAAGAAAAAGAAAAGAAGAACTTGGTTTGCAGGTTGAACAAATCTCTGTACGGTCTAAAGCAGGCACCGAGATACTGGTATAAGAGATTTGATTCCTTCATTACCCTTGTACTTATTTCAAGAGGTTTGGTGGTAACGATTTTATTATATTGCTATTGTATGTGGATGACATGTTGGTTGCAGGACCCAACAAAGATCATATTGAAGAATTGAAGGCACAACTGGCTAGGGAATTTGAAATGAAGTACTTGGGATCAACAAACAAGATTCTAGGGATGCAAATTCACCGAGACAGAACTAATAGGAAGATTTGGCTTTCATAAAAAAATTACTTGAAAAAGATCTTGTCACGATTTTACATGCAAGATTGTAATCCAATTTCTACTCATCTTCCTATTAACTTCAAATTATCCTCCAATATGAGTTCTAGTAGTGAAGAAGAGAGGGTGGAGATGTCTCGAGTACCGTATGCATCAGTAGTGGGAAGTTTAATGTTCGCTATGATATGCACAAGACCAGACATTGCACGAGCAGTGGGAGTGATTAGTCGGTACATGGAGAATCCAGGCAAAGAGCATTGGAATACAGTAAAGAGGATCATGAGATACATCAAAGGGACCTCAAATATTGCATTATGTTACAGAGGATCAAACTTACTTATCAATGGGTATGTCGATTCTGACTATGCAGGGGATTTGGATAAAAGTAAATCTACTACAGGATATGTGTTCAAAGTTACTGGTAGAACTGTAAGCTGGGTTTCAAAATTGCAATCAGTTGTGGCTACTTCCACAACAGAGGCAGAATATGTAGCAACTACACCAGCCAGTAAAAGAACAATTTGGTTGAAGATGCTAATGGAGGAGCTTGGGCACAATCAAGAGTATGTCTCTCTGTTTTGTGATGACAGTCAAAGTGCCTTGCATCTAGCAAGGAATCCAACATTTCATTCAAAGACAAAACACATACGAGTTCAATACCATTTCATTCGTGAAAATGGGGAAGAAAGGACGGTAGATATGCAGAAAATCCATACCAAAGACAACATAGCAGATTTTATGACGAAGGCAATCAATGCTGATAAATTTACCTGGTGTCGATCCTCTTGTGGCCTGTCAGAGACGTAAGCAACATGATGGTACAAGGTAAAAAGAATGGTGTGAAGATATGATTGTTCCAATCAAATTTTCAAGTGGGAGATTGTTGAAAATTGGTTTTCGGTGGTGCAAGTTGTTGCACCGAAAGCACCGAATTTTGGGCTGCAAAAATTGTCAAAATTCAGTGCATCAATTGTTGAAAAACATAAATGGTAAAATTGCTAAATTAGTCTATGTACTTTAAGGTATTTATAAGATTAGTCCTTAAGCTTCAACTATAAATACCCTAACCCATTTAGCTTCAATCCCATCCCAAATCATTGTAGCTTTCTCCTAATACTAGAGAATTTAGAGAGTTTCTTGAGAGTTGTTTTCTCCTTTTTGTCAAGAGAAAATTGTCATTGTTTTCTCCTTGTTAGATCGAGAGAAGTTGTAATTCCTATTTTCTCATAGTGAAATTCTTCTATCTTTGCCCGTGGTTTTTACCCTATATTATTTAGGGGGTTTTCACGTAAAATTTATGTCTTCTTTATCTTAATTTTTTATTTTCTCAAATTATCAGGTTTGATTTTGCTCTATCCTACAGCCGTATTTCGCAACATATAAATAATATAAAAATATATATATTTTTATAAAATTAGTAAAACATAAACATGTTCATGAATCTTTATATAAATATTTTGAATTTATGATATCAATGAGTATTTTTCCAACATATATTTTTTCATTAAAATGCTTATACAATTTTTATTTCTTTAATTATAAATCAGAAAATAATGAATGTTTATATATATTTTTGATAAAGAATGTATGATTAAAGAAAAGAACCATACAACTAATAGGTTGGTTCAAGTGAAAAATAGATTGATATCACTTAAGCAATATCTCAGGTTTGAGTCCTTGTGTATGCAGAAAATTCCCACTGAGAGACTTACCCACCAAAATCAGATGTGTGATCCGGATCAGTCGAGATTAATCTTTCGCTCAAGCACAAAACACACCAATGAAAACACCTCATAAATGGGGTTTCATAATCAAACAAATTCTAATATATTTAATGTATTAACAATAATATTTATCAACTTAATCGAATAAAATCAATTATTTCTATTTAAAAAAATGTTGGTCAATTATACGACTTTGACCGAAGAAAAATATTCTTTTCTATTGTTGTAGATCGCAGGGAAACTGGTGACGCAGTGCCAAGCACGTGTGCGTTTGGACCGCGGCGTTGAGTCTTCAAATCCTTCTCTCAAAAGTCAAAACGACATTACCTTTCTCATAGGCCTGTAAATGAACTGAACGTTCAGTGAACCGTTCATGAACCGTGCGGCGAGAAGTTTGTTTATGTGCGTTTATTTATTAAATGAACGAGCATGAACAAGATTTTATGTTCGTTTAATTAAATGAACGAACATGAACATATGTCTCGTACGTTCATTAACGTTCGTGAACGTTCGGTTATGTTCGGTTATGTTCGTTAGATTATGTTCGTTTATGTTTGTTAGATTATGTTCGTTTATGTTTGTTCGGTTATGTTCGTTTATGTTCGTTCATTTATGTTTAACCCAATCTTCTTAAATCAATTTTGGTGACCAATTTGTAAGTTATAATGTTATATTATAACTTTAGATTTTTTAAAATTACATTATTAAAAATATATTAAAAACCCTAAGCCCTAAACCCTTAATCTAATTATTAAAATCCTAAACCCTAAAACATAAACTCTAAATCCTAAACCATAAAACTTAAACCCTAACCCCTAAACCATAAAACTTAAACTCTAACCCCTAAACCCTAAACTCTCAATCTAATTATGTGATAGGGGTTAAGTTATGCACATAAAGGTAACATACAAATTATGCAAAATGATGTTATGTGACTCCTAAATAAATCATTCACATACTTATACATAAACATATCCACATGCAAAATAAATATACACAACTAATTAAAGAAAACAATCCTAAACAGGGACTAAATTAAGAGAAACCTAAATGTGAGGACTAATTTAAGCTAAATATACTAACTTTAGAATGATGATTAAATTCACGTAAATGAAAAATTAAACTTGTTATCGATCGTCACTAACTTGTTATCGGAGTCATTTCCACATATTAAAAGCCCCTCCAAGAAAAAAAGGACAACATCATTTAATGAGTTGCCAAGTGGTTCAAGTTTAGAGAGGCAAATTACCTTGGAGCCAGGCTTCTAAACTTCCATTTGGAACAAGCTCATAACAAAGCAGGTTTTGTGAAGAGTCACGACTGATATAGTAACTTACAAGTTTCACAAGATTGCGATGATGCAATATGCTAAGAATCCCAACTTCAACTAAAAACTCTTTATTTCCTTGAGGCCCTCCACTGATAAGCCTTTTAATCGCTACAACCATCCCATCAGTTAAAACACACTTGAAAACTCTGTCGAATCCGCCCTCCCCAAGCGTGCTTGCGGGTGCAAAGTTGTTTGTTGCTTCTTTGAGCTCTTCATATTGTAGAAACTGAGTGCTGCTTGGGCGGGGAAGAGACCCAGCTTGTGCAACTCTGCAGTCTTTGGTTTTACTGCAAGAAAATAAAAACCTAAGCACTCTGCAAGACTGAATTAAAACCAGTAATGCAGAATCAATCAGCATTCTTGTTACAAGGTTTTACAAGATGCGCAAAATCACACAACTCAAGCTTTAGTTTTTAGCTAACCGTAAAGAAAATCATAGTCATTGTGGTTAAACATACTAGGTTCTTGAGGAGATGCTTCTGCCTTCCCCCCATGGAATGCACAGGAACAAATTATAAGCACGGATATTATAGCTAACCGAAAAGAAAATCATAGTCATTGTGGTTAAACATTTTCGTAACTGGCCTTGCTGATGAGAGAAAATGCAAGAATAAAGACATCAGCCCTACGATAGCTCAGTGGCCTTGCTGAAGCAATATCCCACATTGGGGAAGTACACGAGTGGACCACATATTTGGTATTATAAATAAAAGACAGCTACCTCCTTTCAACATACTTATCTCCTTGCTTGAATCGAGCTCAAAATCGAGCTTTATTCGAGCTGATGCTTTTTTTTAAGTTCGAGCTTTTTCGAGTTCGAGTCGAGTTTCATTATTATATTTCGAGTTCGAGCTGAAATTTTAAGCTTGCGAGTTTTCGAGTCGAGCTTGCTCTTAAAGTTTTCGAGTTCGAGTCGAGTTCAGCAATACTCTAGCTCGACTCGGCTCGTTTACACGCCTAGAAAGAACAATGGAATGTAGGGTCTCCAACGTTTATGTTCATTTATGTTCGTGTTCATTTATGTCCGTGTTCCTTTATGTTCGTGTTCGTTTATGTTCGTTTATTTATTAATTGAACGAACATGAACAAATTATATTCTTGAATAAATGAACATGAACAAAAAAAAAATTGTTCGTTTATGTTCGTGTTCGTTTATGTATTAAATGAATGAACATGAACATACCTCCATTCGTGTGCGTTCGGCTCGTTTAAAGGCCTACTTTCTCAACTACGTACAATAGTTGAAAAGATTAAAGCATGTGTGAGTGAGGAGGGTATTAATTAATGTTTTCATTACGAAACATCTCTAATAATGTAATTTATAAAAATTTAAAATTTTAAAAGATTCTACGCATAATTAAATGAGTTTTGTCTCAGGTCGAAACATCTCTAATAATGTAATTTATAAAAATTTAAAATTTTAAAAGATTCGATGCATAATTATAAATTAGTTAAAATTTAAAGGTAAAATATTTATGGTAAGCTATATGAATGATCACTAAACTATTCAACCCTTTTACTTTTATCATTGATTTTTCAATTATGTCAATTAGATCACTTAACTATTTAATTGTATCCAATCAAACCAATTGTCGCCACTAATTGGCAGCAGCAAGTCGTTGCTTTGTCTAGTTGGCATGTCTCATTGCCAACTTGTTCTAATTTTTATTCCTTTTTTGCCAAGTCGTTTTCTTTGTTTTTTTATTTAAATTTCTTTTAATATTTCACTCATTTTTCATTAGATATACATTGGCTCTAGACATGTTCTACAACAAATAATTTTAAAGAAATTAATATTAACAACAAACTTTTGGATAAGTTTGGCATAAAGTCAACAGTCCATTAAATAGAATGGCAATAATATATCTTAACTCGAATCAATATTAAGGTTTTGTAAGGTGGCAGATTTAAAAAAAATATTATTTAGGATGTACACATATGTATTAATAATAAAAATAAATATTAAAGTAAAAATAAATAAAATTTTAGATAAATATGTTCAATAAAATAAATAATTAAAATAAAAAAATTGGATTCAAATATAAGCACATGCCCACTTTAGATTGTTCATACATTTGTCATTAGCTTGCCCTATTTTTCTCTTTTTTTTCATAGTCATCGTTAGTCTTTTTTCTTCTTCATCTTTGTGATCGATGACGACATCAAACTTGGTGCTGATCACCTTATTCGTAGCCGCCACTAATTTATCATATTTTCTCTCTCTTTTTTTCATAGCTTTCATATTTATTGTTTTCTTTTGCTTTATTATAGTGTATCTTTATTTTTTTTTTCTTGCTTTTTATTTTTAATAATTTTATCTTTATGACACATTTTCGGTCATTAGGTCATTATTTTTCTTAATTCTTTTTTTAAGGTTGAATTTGATATCATCACGAGTGATCAAGATGATAATTTATTTGTTATCATGTTAATCTTTATTGTTTTGGACCCTGAGATTAGATTTGGATAAATGATTTTGCGTTCGTAGATAGTATTTTCATGTCGCTTAATTATGATTTGTGATTTGTCGTTGGCATTTCAATAACTTCATCCTATTTTGCGATTCGTTTGTCGGTGTGGTCAGATCCGTTCATTATACCTTTTATCTGAGTTTATTTGGTTAGGTTTTTTAACATTTTTCTTATATGGTTCTTGTGATTTTAAGTGATTAGTTTTCTTTCGTTTAGGAAAATATCTTTGTATTTAATTTATGATTATAGTTGTAAACCTTTATTGTAATTTGAATATTTTATATTTTTAATAAAATTAGTGGCTTCTATACTAAAAAGTCGATGTCATTATTATGATAAAAAATTATTTTGAATCAATTTGACTAAAACTATTTTGTTCCTTTTAATTTAATCTAACATCTTAATTAAAAAATCATTTTGGTTTGATCTAATTTATCTTTAAATTTTTATATATTTTTTCTTCAAATAGAAACATAATTAAATAAAATATTAATTTATTCAGTTGAATAATATATAGTTTAATACAATATTTCTTTTACTAAATCAAATTGATATCCAATTTATTAATTGTATCTTATACCCTAATATATATATATATATATATATATATCAAAATAGTTTTTCTTGTTTTCGTTGGATTATTATTATTATTATTATTATTATTATTATTATTATTATTATTATTATTATATATTTATCAAAATAGTACATATTTTAAGTATTCTCAATCCTTTCACAATAAACGTTTAATCACCTTGCATTAGATGGTACTCGAACTCGTAACATCTAGGAACAACAACGATTTCTTTAATCAATGAGATAATTTGGTCCATGCAAATCTAAATTATTTGCATATGTAAGTTTATTTTAAGTATTATTTAAAATATTAATTGTATAAATAATATTAAAAATACAATTTTTTTATAAAATTAGTAGAACATAAACATGTTCATGAATCTTTATATAAATATTTTGAATTTATGATATCAACGAGTATTTTTCCAGCATATATTTTTTTCACTAAAATGCTTATACAATTTTTATTTCTTTAATGATAAATCAGAAAATATGGAATGTTTATATATATTTTTGATAAAGAAGGTATGATTAAAGAAAAGAATCATACAAATAACGGAGTTGGTTTAAGTGGTAAGCAGATTGATATCGTTTAAGGTCTCAGGTTCAGGTCCTTGTGTATGCATAAAATCCTCATTAGGAGACTCACCCACCAAAACCAAGTGTGCGATCCGGATCAATCCAGATTAGTCTTTCGCTGAAGCACAAAATACACCAATGAAAACACCTCATAAATGGACATCCATAATCAAACAAATTCTAATATATTTAATGTATTAACAATAATATTTATCAACTTAATCGAATAAAATCAATCATTTCTATTGTAAAAAATGCTGGTCAATTATACGACTTGACCGAAGAAAAATCTGCTTTTCTATTGTTGTAGATCGCAGGGTAACTGGTGACGCCGTGCCAAGCACGTGTGCGTTTGGACCGCGGCGTTGAGTCTTCAAATCCTTCTGTCAAAAGTCAAAACGACATTACCTTTCTCAACTATGTACAATAGTTGAAAAGATTAAAGCACGTGTGAGTGAGGGTATTAATTAGGGTTGTAAAAAGTTGACCCGACCTGTAAAACTGACTGAAACCGATTTGAGTCAAAACTATTTTTAACCTGCGCTGTAGCGATCCGAAACTGACTTGAGTCGGAACTGGTGTTTACCTGAATCCGAGTTGGATCTGGAAATTGTGAATCTAAAACCGACCTGCATCCGACCTGAACCCAAATTGAACCGAAAAATGATACCTGAAACCGACCTGCATCCGACTGATATGAACCCGAAACCGATATTGACCTGGTAAATAACTGGTATTACCCGACATGTTTTCAACATGACCTGTTTTTAACCTGACCTTTTTTTAACCTGACCTATAAATGATCCGACTTGTTAATGACCTAATATGATATTTACCTAACTTATATATTACCATGCACGAAATTATAAGATTTTAATAAAATTATAAATTTTTTAGTTTATGATATAATTAAAAAAAATTAAAATGATTACTTTTTAAATGTTATAATAAAATATTTATTATGATAAATAAATTAATAAATAGACCTATTATATAAAATTATTTAATAAAATTAATAAAATTATTTAAATGTAAATTAGATAAAACATGATTAATAATGCAAAGGAAAGTTAATATAGTTTAATTTATATAAATTATATAGTTTAATTTATATAAAGAAAAAATAATATTAATTATGAAAGTATTTATTATGTAATATATATTAACGTTTTACATTATTAATATAAATAATTTTGATAATACATTAGTTTACATAGGCCCAAAACATAAGCCCACTCTTTTATTACATATATATTTGCATTAGTGCTAGGCCATTTACATTAGGGTTTATAATTTAGTGTTTAGTGTTTATGGTTTAAAGCTTAGAGCTTAGGGTTTAAGGTTTATAATTTAGGGTTTTTATAAACTATATATTTTATTACTTTATATAGTTTATGCATAGTTTTTTCTATAAACTATATAATTATATTATATATATTATATAAAATTATAATAAAATTAATAAAATTATTTAAATGTAATTATATAAACATGATTAATTAGTGTTAAATATTAGTAGTCACGTTGCATATTATATGGTTCATAAATAGTAGTCATGTCATATTATTTCATTTGCATAATTAGTATTTTAGTTGCATATTAGGTTAATTCACATTAATAGCCCATTTATTTTGTTGTTATGAATAAGTAATAATAAAACTCAAAAATAAGTCCATTTGCAATAGTATATATATATATTATATAAAATTATTTAATAAAATTAATAAAATTATTTAAATGTAAATTATATAAACATGATTAATTAGTGTTAAATAATGGTTCATAAATAGTAGTACATATCATATTTCATTTGTATAATTAGTATTTTAGTTGCATATTAGGTTAATTCACATTAATAACCCATTTATTTTGTTGTTATGAATAAGTAATAATAAAACTAAAAAATAAGTCCATTTGCAATAGTACTAGTCTATTTACATTAGTTTGCATAGGCCCAATACATAAGCCCACTCTTTTATTACAAATATATATGCATTAGTGTTAGTTCATTTATATTAGGGTTTAGAGTTTAGGGTTTAAAGCTTATGGTTCGAAGTTTAGGGTTTAGGATTCCTATAAACTATATACTTTATTACTTTATATAGTTTATGCATATTGTTTCTATAAACTATATAAGTAATTTACTTTATATAGTTTATATATATATATATATATATATATATATATATATTATATATTATATACTATACATGGTTTTATACATATTATATAAAATTATTTAATAAAATTAATAAAATTATTTAAATGTAAATTATATAAAACATGATTAATTAGGTGTTAAATAATTAGTATGTCACATTGCATATTATATGGTTCATAAATAGTAGTACATGTCATATTAATTTCATTTGCATAATTAGTATTTTAGTTGCATGTTAGGTTAATTCACATTAATAGCCCATTTATTTTGTTGTTATTAATAAGTAATAATAAAACCCAAAAATAAGTCTATTTACATTAGTGCTAGTTCATTTACATTAGTTTACATAGGCCCAATACATAAGCCCACTCTTTTATTACAAATATATATGCATTAGTGCTAGTCTATTTATATTAGGGTTTATAGTTTAAAGTTTAAGGTTTAGAGTTTTTATAAACTATATACTTTATTACTTTATATAGTTTATGCATAGTATTTCTATAAATTATATAAGTAATTCACTTTATATAGTTTATATGTGTGTGTGTGTGTGTGTTATATATACTATACATGGTTTATACATACATGTACTATAAGTTACAAATATAGTCCAGGGGTTAGGGTTTAGGGTTAAAGATTTAGGGTTTTTATAAACTATATATTTTATTACTTTATATAGTTTATGCATAGTGTTTCTAATATATATTATATATATATATATATATATAATATATATATAATATATATATATATATATAATATGGATTACTTATATTAGTTATATATATATATATATACACTATATTAATATAAATTATAATTTATAAACTATATATTTTATGTAGTTTATACATATGTAGTTTACACACACACACAGATAAATAGAAAATTAAAAGTAATTAGAATGTATATAGGATTAAATTGCATCGAATTGAAAATTCAAGAAGATATTTACAATTAAACCATGACTAAAATGAAAGAAATCAAAAATCAAATACAAGTGGAAAAATGATGATTGTTGGAGGAGCATGAGGCTAATTAACCTAAAATATCTTTCCAAATAAAATCTCAATTATCAATTTCCCTCCAAATTTTTCTATTCCTTCTAAATTTCTCAATTTCTCTCTAAATTCTCAATTTTCCTATATTCTCAAAATTTCCCAATTTTCTTCTAAATTCTCAAATAAAATCAAAAAAATTTCACACACAAAAATCTTTATTTTAAAAAATTTTCTCCCACCATTCACTTTGAATAATATATATATACTATATTAATATAAATTATAGTTTATAAACTATATACTTTTTTATAGTTTATACATATATAGTTTACATATATAGTTCATATAAACATAATTTATATGTATAGCTTATAATAATTATATAGTTTATATATAAACTTATATTTTATATATATATATATATATTCAATTTTTTAAATGAATGCAATTTTACTATATTTTTCATTATTTCTTCATATTTTGCATTTATTTCGATTTAATCCTTTTGCATTTTTTAATTTATTTCAATTTTAAGTCTTTCACTTTTATATGTATTCAATTTAATTCTTAAATTTATATTTGCATCTTCATTTGGCCCATTGTTAATTGTTATTTATATTTTTGTAATTGACCCATAATTTTTTAAATGTGTTTAATTTAGTCCTTTTTATATTAATTTAAACCTCATATTTTAAATTTATTTCAATTTAGTCCCTTACCTATGTGTGTTGTTTAATTTATATTTTAAAATTTTATTTGTAATTTTACATTTCTTCAATTTTGTCCTTAAATTTATATTTTTTTAAAAAAATTGATCAATGGATATTTATTTTTCTCTTAATTTACTCGAAATAATATACAATTACAACTTGCAATTCAACAATCACGAAAGATGACAAAATAATTAATCCAAAAATAAAAATGACACGGCCTGAACTCAATCCGTATCCGGTAAACATCCGACCTGAATTTTATCTGTCAATGATGTGACACGATCTGAACGAGATCCGACTGAAGTCCACCTGAACCTGAATTAACCTGGTCTTTATCTGCTTCGGACCTGAACAGTTTTGACCTGAACTGACATCGATCCGAACTGAAAATGACCTGACATGAACCCGATCTGATCTGGTGTCAAATCAAACTGAAAATAACCCGAATTGATTTGACATATACCCGGCCAGATCCGAGTCTAACCATCAAATTGACCTGAATTGACATGTACCCGATTTTACCTGACTTACCAAAATCCGACTGAAACCTGTCCGATTACCTGATTTTACAGCATTAATTAATGTTTTCATTATGTTAGCGACATTGAAAAATAATATATATTTATATATACATATATTGATATGAATTTCAAAAAATTAAATGAGTTTTTTCTTAGGTTGAAACATCTCTAATAATGTAATTTTTAAAAATTTAAAATTTTAAAACACTCAACGTAGGATTATAAATTAGTTAAAATTTAAAAGGTAAATTATTTAGGATAAACTGTATGAATGATCACTAAACTATTTAGCTCTTTTATTTTTATCATTGATTTTTCAATTATGCTAATTAGACCACTTAATTATTTAATTGTATCCAATCAAACCAGTTGTCGTTAATATTTTATAGAAGTGGTGACATAACCGTTAATAAAATTAGTATTATTACACATTTAATCCTTAATATTGATATATTCGATCAATCTAATCTTAATTTTAAATTAGTTTAATAAATTTAATCTCCCAATCAAATAATGACACTTGTTACCACTTAATTATATTTTATTTTAATATATTTAAAATACAATGAAAGGGTGACACATGTCCCATTTGATTGGTGTCAAAAATGAGTTGACTAGTTATAATGTTGCAATGGGAATCAACTCTCACCCAGGGTAAAGGATTCACGCAGCTTCATCCATGATGTCCAAGCGACCTTACATCGCTCTCTCGTACAACTCTTCCCTATTTCCCATCTCCGCCGGACATAGCCAAATTCCCACGCAAAACTGGTGCTGCTCGTCGCCGGTCGAAGCCGTCGAAGCCTCCAACGTTACGCCATCAACGCTCGACTCTCTGATTTGAGGTGCGGATTTCACTATCAACGTTATTCCATCTGGTTTATTCATTCTATTCCATGCTTCGGTTGCTGATTGGGGGTCCCCTTGTTCTGGGTTTTTAAGTTATTCAGTTTTTCATGATTGCGCCTTTCTTGTTTTGTTAGTTTCAAGTATATGGGTTTCCTGGTTTTGAGAATTTTTAGGATTAGATCTTGTGAGATTACCTCTGTTTTTTTTCTTTTGATGGTAAAGCAATGGTCGTTGTTAGCTCTTTAACCTTCAAATTCAGAGTGCAGTTTTGGTTCTTGTTTATGCTTCTTTTTAGTTCTTGGTGAGTCTTGGAGATGGCTCAGTTTGCTTGAGCAACATTCTACATGTTATGATTTTCGATAGCCTCAAATGTTTGGGTCAAAGAACAAAAGTAGCATATCAGAATTTCAATTTGGATTTAATTTCCAGTTGTATGGGTAGTTACTTGTTTGTAGCTTTTGGAGGAGTGAAATTTATAGGATGCTCTGGGCTACTGCATTGTAAGGTTTGTCTATGTGTGTGTAATTGTTTAGGGGTGTTTATTTGTTAGGGAGTTAAGGTGACATGGACTACGGTACCTTACGAAGATGAGAAGTAGTGGTGGTATTCATTGTTGTTAAGATCGATTGAATGAAAATTATTCTAAGGAAGGTGCTAATCGTGTAAATTTCATGGTTAGTATTCCATGGAGGCTTATTTGCAAAGTCAAGCGTAAATGATATATGTATACACCTGTTTTTGGCCGGGTTTTTTTTTCTCTATTTTTAATTTATTAGTATTATTATTTTGAAATTTACATATTACAATTTTGCAGGTCTTGAAGCCCAAATTACAAAGGCCCAATCCCGAAGCCCAACATTCAGCAGACCCATCAGTCAAACCTGAATCGGTTTAGGCCCAAACAAAGGACCCAACTCAGTTAGGGTTTCACCTTATTCTCCCTAGCCGCTTTTAACACCAGCCGTTAGATCTGGAGGAAGATCAACGGCCCACAAGCAACCCAGATTAGGGTTTTAACCCTAAGCATATCATCCAGCCGCCGTCGCCCTCAACTCCTCAGCTTCCCAGCCGTGAGCCGCTGCCAAGCCTGAGCCACCGCCGAACCTCTCATCGAGTCAATCCATCATCCACAGTGATAACAAGACCATCAAACACCAAATCGGTCAGAGCAATCAGAGAAAAATAAGGAAAAAATCAAAAGAAAATCCAAATGATATCCTAAGGTACATATAGCCTCTGTCGACCCTAGTGTCTCGGGCAGCAAAGTCAATCATCACAAATCATGGAAGCTAACATAAAATCAAATGAAGAGAAACAGATGAGGGGGATTGGGGGGGTAAAAAAAAGAGAGCTCATTCGGGTTTAAAAAAAAGAGAGAGGAAAAACACTGGAACAAAACAAGAAATATAAAGAGAGAGAGAAAGTTCTTACCCTTGTTCGAACTGCCGGTGAACAAAGGGTCGTCGGAGCTGAAGAAACCGAGAGGTTTCTTCACAAATCTATGGCGTTTGAGCCATTTTTAGGCCAAACTGAGCTCGGACCCACCTTCACGGTGAGAATAGACTATCTTCAGATTTTATCTCGTCCATCAGGATTAATCTTTTATTTACAAAAAGGTTTTCTAAAATCTTTAATGCATGATAGATGAAAAATAACAAACGAGTTGAAAACCTGAAAAGGCAGCTCGAATATGAAGACTATTGCATATGAGGTGATCGTACAAGTCCCTTGATAAGGCATCGCACAACCTGAATGAGATCATGAGAGCTGGGAGTCGGAGAAAACTTCCAAAAATGTAACGTTACCCCATCAGATCATTGAACATTCAAATAAATGAACACCATACCTTTAACCAAACATAACAACCTGATTTTTTTATCCTTTCCATACTTAACCGAGTTGAAAACCTGAAAAGGCAGCTCGAATATGAAGACTATTGCATATGAGGTGATCGTACAGTCCCTTGATAAGGCATCCCAACCTGAAGGAGATCATGAGAGCTGGGAGTCGGAGAGAAAACTTCCAAAAGAGAGATACGTTACCCCATCAGATCATTGAACATTCAAATAAATGAGAACACCATACCTTTAACCAAACATAACAACCTGAGATTTTTTTATCCTTTCCATACTTAACCATTTATCAAAGATAGCATTGATATTGACACTTGTCAAATAGCTATAATTTATTGAAGGATTAATAGTGTAATTAATTCTTTGATATTTAATGAACTCTTGTTCTATGATTTGTCAATTGTGAAACTTTGAAAGGGGCAATATTTTCAAATCTTTGATTAAACATTTTTCAAAACTCTTTTAATTGATGTTTTCAGGCTCCTGAAAATAAAAAAATTCAAACAAGATAATCTCTGGTGGCATATCTTAGAATTCAATGAATATCTATCTGAAGCTCAATATCTAAACTGGGGCAAGAGAAAGCAAATTTTTGGGGGCAAAATTTTGATGGGACAAACAAATGGTCTCAGATCAAGGTTTGCAAGAGTACACCCTAGTGGAAATAAAGACAAACTGAATCAATGATAGAGTGAAGATTGCTCTTGCAACTATTCTCATTCCAGATCGAGAAAAACATACATACATACATACATACATACATACATACATACATACATGCATACATGCATACATGCATACATGCATACATGCATACATACACATACATGCATGATACATAAATTTTGCATCAAACATTTATCATGATGTATATTAAAGACATTTTTCTCCTCACTTGAGGACAAATTCAATAAAAAATCAAATAAATTTCATTTTTAACATCGAAGATAGTCAGTCAAAATGCATCATTTTGATCTCTCAGGAAATCAAAGCTCAGAAATGACAAAATATCTCTAACTTGAAGAAACAATGACATCCACATATGTGACTTCCTGAAGTTAACAATTAAGACATTTCCTCCACCAGCATGAACAAACAGATTATCAGTATCTTTTGATGTTGTTTCTCTCGAAACAAAATGTTGTCTCGCTAGAGACAGCTTCTTTTGAAAAACAAATCTTGTCTCACTTGAGACAGTTTTCTAAAATCAAATTTTGTCTCATTTGAGACAATTTCTTGAAAAACAAATTTCGTCTCGCTTGAGACATTTTTCCTTAGAAATACAAATTTCGAATTTGTTTTCATATTAAACAAAGTTGATCTCACTTGAGATCGTTTTCTCAAAAACAAACGTTGTCTCGCTTGAGACAATTTCTCTAAAAACAATTTTTGTGTCGTTTGAGACAATTTCTCTAAAACAAATGTTGTCTCACTTGAGACAATTTTCCAAATTAGAATTTGTTTCACTGGAAACAAACATCATCTTTGAGTCGTTTCTTTTGAAACAAATGATCTTTGAGTCTATTTCTTTTGAAACAAAACTTTTTCTCTCTTGAGATAGATTTTCTTGAAAAATCTTTGAGTTTGTTTCACTTAAAACAAAATGAAAAAAATCTTTGAGTATGTTTCTTTGATAACAAAATTTTGTCTCTTTTGAGAAAGTTTCTTTTGAAAGAATCATTGAGTATGTTTATTTGGAAACAAAATTTTGTTCCTATGTTTCTTTGGAAACAAAATTTTGTTTCTTTTGAGACAGTTCCTTTTGAAGAAAAATCTTTAAGTCTGTTTTTATGAAAACAAAGGTTTGTCTCTTTTGAGACAATTTCTCTTAAAACAAACATCTGTGAGCATGTCTCCCTTGAAACAAAACCCAATTTTTATTATTTTTCTTTTGAAACAAAGTTTTGTCTCTATTGAGATAGTTTTTCGTAAAAAAAATCTTTGAGTTTGTTTCTTTTAACAAAATCATATTTGAGTCTATTTCTGTTAAAAAAAAAATTGTCTCTCTTGAGACAGTTTCTAATGAAAAACCAACCTTTGAGATTGTTTCCTTTGAAACAAATTTCGTCTCACTTAAGATGTAATCCATCTTTGAGTTTGTTTCTTTTGAAACAAAATTTTATATCTTAAAGACAATTTCTTTTGAAAATACCCACCTTTGAGATCGTTTCTAATAAAACAAATTTTCTCTCCCTTAAGGCAATTTCTCTAAAAATACAAAATCTTTGAGTTTGTTTCTCTTGAAATAAAACTATCTTTGAGTCGTTTCCCTTGAAACGAATTTTTTCTCTTGAAAGATTTTCCCTTAAAACAAGAACATATTTGAGTTTGTTTCTCTAGAAACAAGGTTTTCTCCCTTAAAATAGTTTCTTTTGAATGAAAATCTTTGAGTCTGTTTCTTTGGAAACAAAATTTTGTCTCACTAAGATACAATTTTCTGAAAAACAAAGTTTTGTCTCTTATGACGATGTCTTTTGAAAAAAAATCATTGAATCTGTTTCTTTGGAAACAAAATTTTGTTTCTCTCGAGACAGTTTCTTTGAGAAAAATCTTTGAGTCTGTTTCTTTGGAAACAAAATTTATCATCTTTGAGTTTGTTTCCCTTGAAACAAAAACAAACAAAATCTTTGAGTATGTTTTTCTTGAAACAAAAACATCTTTGAGTTTGTTTCTCTCGAAACACCGATCTTTGAGAACGTTTCCCTTAAACACAAATTTTGTCTCGCTTGAGACAGTTTCCTTTAAACATCATATTTGAGTCGTTTCCCTTAAAACGAATTTTGTCTCTTTTGATACAATTGCTTTTGAAACACATCGCCTTTGAGTTTGTTTTTCTTGAAACAAATCTTTGAGTTTGTTTCTTTTGAAACAAATCTTTGAGTCGGTTTCCCTTGAAACCATAATCACTAAAGATGGCCTAAACTCTTCATCAAGTATGAGTCGTTTCATCCACCGAACAAACCTCCTCATCACTTAGGAGTCGTGTCACCCCTAGATAACCAGACGTCCTCATTATGTAGGAACCGTGTTATCGCCCTTCCTAAAGATGGCCAGAACTCTTCATCACGTATGAGTCGTGTCATCCCCCGACCAGATCTCCTCATCACGTAGGAGCCGTGTCACCCCTAGATAACCAGCCGTCCTCATCGCGTAGGAACCGAGTTATCACCCTTCCTAAAGATGACC